CATTTACGGGATTTTTTTGCGTCTCGGGTTAGACGCGAGTGTCGTTCTTGTTTCAGCAGTTAACAAAATCCCAAACTCAACGCTAAACATCCTTGCGGCCGAAACCGTACTTTTGACTCGATAACAGCGCTGCTGTTACTCCGCTCACATGGAGCAGAGACGCTCTCCACAGCCCCACGTACACGGAGGCAAGAAGCCATTCAATTGCTCTGTGTGTGGGAAGACATTTTCACGGCCATCACATCTTCAAGCTCATGAGAAAACACACACGGGCGAGAAGCCATTCCTGTGCTCTGTGTGTGGGAAGGCATTTGCACAGTCATCAAATCTTCAAACTCATCAGAAAACACACACGGGCGAGAATCCATTCCTGTGCCCTGTGTGTGGGAAGACATTTGCATGGTCATCACATCTTTAGAGTCATCAGAGAACACATACGGGCGAGAAGCCATTCCTGTGCCATGTGTGTGGGAAAGCATTTGCAGACTCATCAACTCTTCAAACTCATCAAAGAACACACACGGGCGAGAAGCCATTCCTGTGCCCTGTGTGTGGGAAGGCATTTTCACAGTCATCATCCATGAACAGGCATCAGAAGGTCCACAATGATAGGAAGCTGAAATCAAAAGGTGGAATTCAAGGTGCTGCAATGATTCCTGAAGATAATTCCACTATCGATCCCATGCAGTTGGATCCCGAGAGATGGTTGGATGTAATGGACTGGCTCGAGGATCAACCCGAGAGCTCGGGGTGACTGAAATATAATGTTGCATGTAGTTATACCTATTAAGCCGCCTTGAGTACTTTTGTGTGTAATTCTGACCCTTTAGTTTTACAGTTTGTTTGAGAGTTTCTTGACGTGCAGGTGGTGATTTTTGATTTTGTCGGATTTAAGTCTTCCTGTTGAGCTAAAGTTGGAATGCATATGCAGTTAGATCTTTACTCAACATTTTAAACGGGTTTTTTTCAAGTATAAAGCTTTTTTTGGATGGTAATAATCTGCTTTGGTATGTACATTGATGACGCGTTCGTTGGATATATGGCCTTGACTTCAACATAGACGCACAGTGAACAAATGTGGTTAACTAATAAGGAAATCATGGGGAATGACACTTTAACGCTTTGGTATTCCTGGAACGGAAATTGTTTGCATTGTACTGTAACTGTTTGAACATAGAACATAATACATATTCGGTTTTAGATTTAACGTAAACATTTTTGCAGATTAATAAAAACGTATTTTAACAAATGTTTGTCCGTTTATTTATTTTACAATGTTCATAGCAAAAACGTGTTTTAAGCGAGTTTTAGGTGGAGGATCTTCGTCACACAAATCTGCCCTTTACCGGCAGCATCTTGGATGTCTCCCCATTAACATGTGTCCCTGGAGGGGAAAGGTCCCCATTATAAACGATAACAAAAATAATTAAAATACTATAATCTATTAACTAGTTTCATCATTTATAACACCAAAAACAGAGGTACGGTATTATTAGTTTTGAACAAAATAAACGGAGGTTCGTGATTATAATCGCATAATAATAATTCTAATCGCACTGTGATAATGTTAGAATCACACTGTGCCCATATGCATGTTAAGTGATTGCGAACCGGGGGTAGGATTTGCAAGATTTGAATCTCATTACAATTATTATTGAAGCACCCCAAGCCTCAGGGGCTAGCAAACTGTGGGCGCCACAACACATTTCCTTTGGAGTACGGTTTCCGTTGCCAAGCACCCCACCACGTCGGACACACCAGACGTGGGCTGTACAGGACATGGAGATGAGCTGTCCGGGAGGGGATGGACATAAGTCTTGAGGCGCGATGGGTGGACGATCCAACGGAGACGCCCTATCTACATTCGTTACACACTTAGGCCGTTTCACCTCTATGACTTCAGCTGTATCACTATTAACGAGAACACTCAACATTAAACGACTATAGACTGGTTTTAGAATTCATACCACCATAAACGGAGGTACGGTATTCAAATCTCATTAGAAGTATTATAATCGCACTCTGCTCATATGTATGTAAAGCGAACGTTCCATCGAACCGGGGGTTGGATATGCGAACTGAGGGGTGCAGGGTTAGAATCGAATTCAAATTCCTAGAATAACAATATTGTCGTATTAGCATTTTAGTGTGCTTGACTGTATGTTACGTGTAAATGCAAATTGTTAGTCGTAAATGCGAGGCAGGGGTTAAGAGGTGCATGTTTAATCCAGTGTTAACGTTTATTTTAGCATCATATTTAAAGACAATATTGGTAATAAAAATTATTCTGGACATGGCACGTGCCTTGTTCGTCTCGATCAACTAAAATTAGTAGAATGTCGGTCATAAAGGAGTGCGAGTTCTTTCATGAGTAGTATCCAGGCCTGATGGCCAGGCATCGCTTCAGTCCTCGCCGCAGTAACGGCGACATCAAAGACAGCACAAAGCGAGGGGGCAAATGTTTAATGTCGAACCGAGGGCTCTGCTATTTCCGGTGACGCAACCACCCACACTGCACCACGTGGTGCGCCCGCCAAGCGCGTGGGGGCGGAGCCTCGCTGTAGTGACGTCACCTCTGTTACGTCATAGCCACGCCTCCACCCGCAGTCGAGAGGAATGCGCACGAGTGAGCAGCAGCAGAAGAAGCCTTTGCAGAGCGAATCCTCAACGAGGTGAGCGTCCCTGTTGACGATGTGTGTTGTTTATTTTTATTGCACGTTTTGACTACAAACTAAAGCTTCATTATTTTTGTGTATGTTGGTATTTGGATTTTCTGCAACCAAATTAGGACTATTAGGTTACTTGGCATGCTCTGATATGTTGCTGTTACTGTCATTGTTTAGACCTAAAACAAGTCAACATTTAAAACGTTCATAACTAACCTGTTTAAATCTCAACTAATATGATTAACATGTCCATAATGATTATGTTCTGATTGCCTGCATAATTGTGCCCTGCATTACATGTATTGAATGTTTTCCAACACGGCGGAGGAGTCTGCCTTTTAGTTCAGACCCAAGCTGCTGCCATAGACGTCTCCTTTCTGTGATGTCACAGCCACATGGGCGGTACCTCTGACATCACGTGACCTACGACGTCATTCTCGGGTTATAACAATTGATTTAAGTATGGTCATTTGACCCCAATGACCTACAAGACATAGGGGGGCGTTTATCAAGCAGTTGATTAATACAAATGGGCTGTGCATCAACATGCTTGTCTGGATTAGAGGTTAAACATCACGGTTATGTCTGGCGATTATGTTTAATGCAATAGGCAGTTGAAATAAACATGTTCGCGTGGGTGCATGAGTGAGTGATCTGACGCACGTGTGAGTGGGCAAACAAGCGAGTGAGTGATATGATTGGTACAGCGAGTGGTCAAATATGTAATCATTGAGAGGATGAGTGATTCAAAAGGTTGCTAAATCTGAGCGTTTTTACAACCTCCCCAGGCCCTCCAACATCAAACAGAAACTACTTCTTCCCAACAACATGGACAGACAACGCAAGTGGGCTGAAATCTTGGAGGACTATGATGGTAAGTCCCAGTTACCTGCATCACGTGGCTTTTATGCAGAGGAGGCAGCTCCCTTATTAATTTATTTTAGTAGACGTGGCGGTGATGGGAAGATGTAAAGGTCAAGTGTGCAGACAGCATGGATTTAGAACTGAGTTTCATCCATATTGGTTTAAACGGGGGTCTCAACTTTATGAAATTGATGATCTCAACATGCTTACAAAAAAATGACTTGTAAAGTTTTACTGCCATGTGATTAATATTTCTCAACAGCAGGTCATGTTATGTGTTAAGAGGTAATTGCAGGGATCTCAGAATTAGTTCCGTGAATCTCCACGTGCTTCGTTCTCTAAGACATTACTCGTCCTTTGAATTAATTTTGTTTTCCGTAGCCCGGGAGTCATGGCGCCAGTCGACCACGTGGGGGGACATTATGGATGAAGTGGACCCTTTCCCAGGCCAAAGTTATGAGCATCCCTCCCCAAAGGTGTGTATGGGGTCTATGGGAATCAAACACCACATTCTCTCCACACTCCCACACCATTGCACGAAAACATCACTACACCTCACATCACCACACAATCTTTTCACATCACCTTTCTCATCACACCACACCACCACCAACTCAATACAATATACTCTTAGGTTTTTTCGGTAAGGTCACGTATGTGACTCTTTCTTAGGTTTTTTCGGTAAAGTCACATACGTGAGTATGAATCCTTGCAGTCACGAAAGCTTCAAATCGAGAATCAATACAATAGCATAGAGCCTCATAAAGCGTCAATACCATCACAAGGCACCGTCTCTCCAGAACATTCCACAATTTCACCTCTCCATATCACAACACCATCTCCCAACACCATCACTCCATCTCTCCACCATCACGTCATGCCATATCCCACTCGTGCAGGCAAATGAAGTCGCCATTCATTACCAATGAAGACAGAATGATATCATGCAATCTCATGAATTATGTCTGTGAGCTGATTGGAAGTTGCCATTACAGTTGCCCATTATGGGTGCTGCAATAAAATGTGTCCAGATTATGGGCATCCAGATCTTTACAATAGAACATTCTGTGGAAACTATTGCCCGTGATAATTGTTGCCAACAATCGCCATGAAATCGTTGTAGACTATCACTGCATTAAGTGCACGTATTGAATTTGTGAGAATATGAGGATGTAACATGTATTTTGATAACATTAGGTGATGGTGTATATTCATACGTTTGCTAGCATGTTTTCATGAGTTAATGTGCATTATTGCATCCGTACATAGATGTGCCAGTATGCATTTTTGTTTGTCTATGTGCCCGTCTATGTTTGTGTGCCTGCGAGAATATATTTTGTCCTGAGTGCGCATGTCTGAATGGTCATGTGCTTATCTTCGCGTGAACAGAGGAGCATTGGGGAGGTGAAGAACTTCCGCGGAGTGAAGCGTCTCCAGGAGGACAAGCGTCTTGCGAAGTTGAAATGCCCAATGGAAGAGAAGCGCCCCAATGAGGAGAAGCGCCTCGCCAAGTTGAAGCACCAAACGGAGCAGAAGTGCCTTCGAAACAATATCCTCAACGACGTGAAACGCGTCATGGAAAAGCGCCTCCTTGAAGAGACGCGCTTCATAGAGGAGAAGCGCCTTCGCGAGGTGAAGCGTCTCAAGGAGAAGCATCTGGAGGAAGAGAAGCGCCTCATAGATGTGAAGCGGGTCAAGGAAGAGAAGCGCCTCATGGAGGAGAAGCGGGTGGAAGAAGAGAAGCGCCTTGTCGAGGAGCAGCGCCTCATTGAGGTGCAGCGGGTCGAGGAAGAGAAGCACCTCATGGAGGAGAATCGCCTCTTTGAGGTGAAGCTTCTCATAGAGCTGAAGCGTCTCGAGAAGAAGAAGAAGCGTCTTGAGGAGAGGCGCTTTCGCAAGGTGAAGCTCCTCGAGGAGAAACGTCTCATGCAGGAGAAGCGCCTCGTTGAAGTGAAGCATCAAGAGGAGGAGGAGCACTTGATGGAGGAGAAGCGTCTTGTGGAGCAAAAGCGCCTCGAGGAGGAGGAGCGCCTCGCCAAGATCGAGCGACAATGGCTCCAGACCGATACCACCAGCAGCAGCACCACTACCACTGACACCACCGCCGCCACCACCGCCACCACGTCCTCCAATCCTGTGTGGGGCCCAATAGCTCCGAGCTTTGGAGAAGAGGGCTTCCAAGAAGATAAAGCAAACTCCGGAGTCGCTGAGCCACGGTAAACCACTCTGCGTGTGTGCCCTGTGTGTTTATTTTTGTTATTTATTGCCATGCTTCTCACGCAGCATCAGCCTAACTCGGTCTCAAGACTTTTTTTCAGGAGGATCCTGCCAAGTTTGCTCGCATTTTTCAAGAAAGTTGCTACTGTTTGCGATCCAAATTGAACAATTTGCATTGCTTGTGTGGGTTTAGTAACAGGGAGAAAGCTGCAGAACATTCCCAGAACAGGTGGCTGCATAATCCACACGGAGAATGTTGCCAAACGTGGAAATCAAACCCAGGTCAATGTTGCTATGATGCACAGGTGCTCAAGCCCTGTCGCGCTCTCAAAATTCACAAACACTGCAAACCCCACGTGTACATTCTGCTATACTGAGGACAGATTTATTTTTCATAACTGGTTTCTGTGTTAGACCACATAACGAAGTGGGCATATCTTCACCATGTAACCCTCCATCCACCGTGAGATTTTCGCTGTCTATCGCCTGTTTCCAGGCCACTTTGAGATGCCTTCGACGTCAAGGGAGGTGGCTCTCTCGACCACAAATCACTGACGGACACTTTTTTTAAATCGTGGATGTGTTGAAGCGACCAAATTTTCGTGCACTCATTCTTCACCATTACAGTTCAGATCTTGCTTCCCGCCCTGGCTATTATTGCTGCTGCATTGACCACACAGATCCACACCCATTCCGTCACAGTGGACGTTCAGGATCTCTATCGATGCCATTTGAAATGCTTAGGACATTATGTGCAAGGGGTCAATTAAAATATACATATAGAATATGTTCAATCTAGATTTGAAGTTTTAGTGACTACAGGGATCCATACTCTTTGGGTTATATCGGTAAATTCACGTAGGCATGAAATAAAATAAATTTAATTAAATCACGACGTTTCGATGGCCATGTCGTTATTGCAAGAACGTTTCTTGCTGTGGTTTTCCCACCTGATGATGATTGCTCGTGTTGCAATCGAAACGTTGTGATTTAATTTACTATATTTTATACCTACGTGACTTTACCGAAAGAACCAAAAAAATGTCACTTCAAATTATTCAGCTAAATTTGCACAGCAACGCCACCCACTACTGTGAAACTACAGCAGTCTGTGTGAGACACAGCTGCACCTATCTCAAGGATAGCCTGGCGCCATGAGAATGACAGCACCAATACTAAGCACACTCACTGGCCATGTCGTTATTGCTGTTTCTATTCAGCTCGAATTAATCCGCCACACATTCCACCCACGGACGATGGGGAGATGGCGATGTCTGCCGTAGCAGCAAGGTGGAACGGTGTCGTGTTTGACAGACAACCATCACAGTTTTACCATGTCTAGTGGTGGTCTCCCTGTTACAGGTTGAGTCACAAACCGCACCTCTCCATAACAAAGGCTCAGCCTTTGATATGCAGTCTATTCTTAGTCTTAAGCCTCACCTTACCATATTAATAAAAGTATGCGGCCCTTGCCCCACCACCTTCTCCAACCATTATATAAACGAAGTGGTAGCTTCTGCAATCTCTCATTTACCTGATACAGCTGTCGTGGCTGTGACGGTTCCACCTGAAGACGGAAGCTTGTGTTGCCTCCGAAACGTCGTGATTTTTATTTTTTATGTTATTTTATTTTACTTTTTAATGTTTTTTTACCTACGTGACTTTACCGAAAAAACCTAAGAATTTGAATCATTGCAATCACGAAAGCTTCAAATCTAGAACGGTGTCGTGTTGTCTCTTCACAGATCTGAGCCAGCGCAGCCCTCCTCCTCACTCGTCCAGGCCTTTGAAGTGAAGACAGAGGTTGTGGAGAAGGAGATGAAGCCAGAGGTGAAGGAGATGGAGGATGAAGTAGAGACGGAGGAAGAGAAGGCAAAGGAGGACGAGATTGTGATGGTGACAATGGAGGAGAACACGGAGGGAGAGGAGAAAGACAATACGGAGATGGAGGACAAGGAGACAACAAAGGATGAACAGATGGTCGTGGTGGAGGACATGAAGACGACGGACAAAGGGGAAACAATGGTGGTGGAGGAGGAAGAGAAGACGGTGGTGGAGATGGTGGTGCCGGAAGGTGAGGAGGAGATGAAGGAGGAAGAGATGGTGCTAGCGGAGGAGAAGAAGATGGAGAAGATGGAGGTGGCGCAGGAAGAGGAGGAGGAGGTAGAGGAGATGGTGGTGGAGGATGAAGAAGAGAGGATGGAGGAGGATGAGACGGAGGAGAAAACGGAAGAGGTGCAGGTGGAGATGCACGAAAAGAAGAGGAAGCGAGGGAGCCTCGCTCGCGTGGCGACAGCGATCGCCTCACTCCTCCGCCGCGTGCTGCTTTGTGGTGGCAGGTCCACCGCCCAGTAGGGGTGGTGGCGGTGGGCGTGCATCGGTGCCAACCGTGACCACGATCACCACACTACCCGCCCACCCCGTGATACTCGCTACACACACCACACGGGTCCCCAGAGAGACGGTGCAACGTTCAGGTCCAGAATACCGAAGTATACCGGGAATCACCTGTACTTAAAAACACGTAAATTGATAACACTATACACAATAACACTAAACATTAAACGACAAAGAAAGCTACCAACTGGTTTTATAATTTATACCACCATAAACGGAGGTACGGTTTTTTAATTTCATTAGAAGTATTATAATAGAACTCAACACATGTTTGTTAATTGTCCGTTCAATCGAACCGACGGTCGGATATGTGAACTGTGGGGGTCGAGGGTAAGAATGGCATTCAAATTTTAGAATGACAATTTGGTCGTTTTAGCAAATTACTGTACTTGAATGTATGTTATGTGCAAATGCAAATTGTTAGTCGTAAATGCGAGGGAGGGGTTAAGAGGTGCACGTTTAATCCAGTGTTAACATTTATTTTAGCATCATATTTAAGGACACTGTTGTTGATAAGAATTCGTCTGGACATGTTATGTGCCTTGTTCTACTCGATCAACCAAAATTAGTACAATGTCGGTCATACAGGAGTGTGATTTCATTCATGAGTAGTATTCACAGAGCCCCGATGACACTAACCTACCTAAAGTTATGGTTAAAAAAGTAATCTTGAGTGACTTAATTCTCAGCTCAGACATGATCATCGCAATCATTTCCAAAGACGTGTGGGGTCCTGCGAGAGCAGGTCCCGACTACAAACAGCTGGGCAGCAGAATCGGAAGTAGCTGCGTTGCCCTCGAAATGTGATGTTGCTGCTGTTGTTGCTGCTGTAGTTGCTTCTGTTGCTGTAATAAACGCAGGGAGGTGGTGTTCCGTGATGGGATGACGCCTTTGATTAAAGCCTCTGTTCAAACTCACCCGATTGACGCCCTTGATCGTCGCATTTGATCAACTCTGATATTGTAGACTCTCACATGTTAAGCTCTATCATAGTGAAACATAATATTATAACCTATGAACTACAACCTATCCATTGTAACGCTGTAAAAGAATATTACCTATTGGGTTTCACTCCCTCGTCGAGAAGGCCGCTCTCTTCCTTTTCTAAAGTTACATGCTAATTTCTCTGCATTCACTTTAAATCGAGGACAAAGTGTTTCCATTTATTCAAAATAAGCGCATAATTACAAACTGAGATGCACTTACATATTCATGCATGAAGCACAATGGGCACATTACCCTTCGGTATGTTAAAAGACATGCGGATTGTACCTTCCAAAATTAACAATCGAATGCAAATATCCTGAAAGACAAAGGATTTGATCCTAGGGGGGGAGTTATAAGGCGGCTCAGAAGCAGAGCTCAATGCCATTTCGAGAGGGAACTTGATGAGGTTGGACGCTCGACTCGTCGCTCTGCTGATCGCCCTTCAAGCGCGAGACAACGCAGCCTGGCGAGCACAATTGCTGTGTCGACAGTTAGGCGACTTTGCGTCGGCAGAGTTTGTGGCGACATCTTCAGACGGGTTCCAGACATCGATATGCCGTGAATCTCCAAGTAAGTGTCTATTTTCGCGGATAAACTCGTTCTTCTTTTAGAAGTTAACAAAATCCAAAACTCAACGCTAAACATCCTTGCCGATAGCGTACTCGATAACACCGCTACTGTTACTACGCTCACATGGAGCAGAGACGCTCTCCACAGCCCCACGCACACGGGGGCAAGGAATAATTCAATTGCTCTGTGTGTGGGAAGGCATTTTCATGGTCAACAAGTCTTAAGAGACACCAGAGAACACACACGGGTGAGAAGCCATTCCTGTGCTCTGTGTGTGGGAAAACATTTGCACACTCATCACATCTTCAGAGTCATCAGAGAACACACACGGGCGAGAAGCCATTCCTGTGCCCTGTGTGTGGGAAGGCATTTTCACAGTCGTCAACTCTTAACAGGCATCAGAAGGTCCACAATGATAGGAAACTGAAATCAAAAGCTGAAATTCAAGGTGCTGCAATGAGTCCTCAAGAAGTTTCCACCTTCGATCCCATGCAGTTGGATCCCGAGAGATGGCTGGATGTAATGGAGTGGCTCGAGAGTCAACCAGAGAGCTCGGGGTGACTGAAAAAATATTACGTTATGTGGTTATACCTATTAAGCCGTTTCGAGTACTTTTGTGTGTAATTTTGACCATTTTAGTTTTACAGTTTTTGTGAGAGTTTAATTACGTGCACAGTGGTGGTTTGTAATGTTATCGGATTACTTGCCGAATTGGTGTGATGAGCACTGGCTGTGAGAGGGTTCAATTGTAGTCGTTAAGTGTTCCTGTTGAGCTAAAGTTGGAATGCGTATGATGGTACATCTTTACTCAACATTTTAAACGGGTTCTTTTTCAAGTATATAGCTTTTTTTGATTGGTATTAATCGACTTTAGATAGCCGGTTTTCAGGTTGTACATTGATGACGCGTTCGTTGGATATATGGCCTTGACTTCAACATAGACCCACAGTGAACACATGTGGTGAACTAATAAGGAAATCATGGGGAATGAAACTTATACGCTTTGGTATTCCTGGAACGGAAATGGTTTGCATTCTACTGGAAATGTGTGAACATAGGACGTAATAAATATTGCCTTCGACTTTTGACGTAAAATTATTGCAGATGAATAAAAACGTATTTTTAACAAATGTTTGTCAGTTCTTTATTTTATAATGTTCCTAGCAAAAACATGTTCAGAGAATTTCAGGTGGAGGATCTCCGTCACACAAGTGTGCCCTTAACCGTCAGCATCTTGGCTGTCTACCCGATTAACACGTGTTCCTTGAGGGGAAAGGTCCCCGTAGTTAATCGTTCATCAACGTACCAGTCCCTAATCCCGAAGTATGTCGGGGATAAACTCTACTTTATAACATGTAAACTGTAATACTATAAACTATAACACTAAACATTAAACGATTATTAACTAGTGTTTTAATTTATAAACATATAAACGGAGGTAAGGTATTATAATATCATTAGAAGCATTAGAATCACAGTGTGATCGTATAAGAATCACGCACAAACCCATTGTAAACTCATGAGATTATGAATCTTTACAATTTTATAACAATCACAAATTGTGACAAAGCGAAATTCCCACAAGCAAAACACCACGCTCACGTGACGAATTCTTAAACAAACTGCAACACTCAAGTGACAGAACTCAACAAAAAAACGCCGCAATGAAAAGAACAACATCAATAGACAAATCCTAAAAACAGACAACACACGCACGTTAGTAGCTGTTAGAAGAAGACAACACCTAGCACCTTCAACTATACACATCATACAGCCAACTCGTAAATGGGGCGGTATATGACAGTCTTCGCTGCTGTCGACGGGGCCAAGCAGCGAGTGTTTAACTCCAATGTTTCAGAATCCGTGTCATCACCCGGCCACAGCGCCTTACCCAAACTACATCTCCCCAACAAAACAGCCTTCCCTATGCTGTGTATTTTAGCAGTTTATTTACGGACGCACTTGAAGATAACAATTCGTCTAGAAAAGGCAGGCGACTTGTTCTACCAACATGATTTCAATTTATATCCGAAATAAGTATGAGTTCATTCATGAGTAGTATTCACTAAGCCCCGATGGCACTAACCTACACACAGTTATGATTAAACAAAGTAAACATTAGTCGCTCATCCCAGCTCATACATGATCATAGCAATTATTTCCAAATCCGTGTCGGGTCCCACGAGAACAGGGCACGTCCACAAACTCTCAAATTGTAAACTCACATTGTATACTCTAACATTATAAACTCTAACAATATAACCTTTAAACTATGAGCTATACATTGCAACGCTTTAAAATAACACTACAAACTAGTATTATAGTAAACTATAATGTAAGCTATGTGCGATACATTATAACGCTATAAAATAACATCACAAACTAGTGTTACAGATTAGAACACCGTACATTGAAGTGTGGTATTCAAATCTCATTCGAATTCTTAGCTTCACACCGTGGTCCTCTAAGAATCACACCATGCTCGTGAGTTTGTAACATGTCTGTATGTAATATGCATGAATGTAACCAACCAGGCGAGTAATGGAAGAGCTGATCCCGAATCGGAGGCCACCACCCGAACATCAGCAACAGTCGATAGCGTGATTCTAATAGGACCACGTTGTTATTATAACAATTTTAATGCGATCAAAACCGCGCACCTCCCATTTTGCATTTACGACTCGCGATGTGCATCTACATATAACATACATTCTAGCTCAGTGTAATTCTAATACGACCATAGTGTTATTCTAATAATTCTAATCCGATCCTAATCCACCAGTTCGCATATCCGACCCCCGGTTCGCATGTCCAACGGACATACATATTACATACATACGACCATAGTATGTATGTAATATGCATACATATGTGCAGTGTGATTCTATTACGATCACATTGTGATTATAATACTTCTA